GGCGGGTCGCGGTGAATGGCTCGTCGCGGCAGGACTGAGCTCAGGATGGCGAGGCTGAGATTAGACGGGCAAAACTCGTCGGAGTTGGTTGAACTGGAGCTGCAACGGGATCGGAGCTAGGGGAAGAACGAAGTTGAGCTCGCCGGAGTTCGGGTCGATGCGAAGCAGCTGCGACGACGGTGGTGTTGAGCTCGCCAGAGCTGTGAACGACGGTAGCTGAGCTAGCGAACGGCGGAATGGTGCTGCGGGAGAGGGAGGAGCTGAGTGACGGCGGTGTGTTCAACGGGACTGAGCTCACCGGAGGTTCGTCGGGTGTTCACCGGACGTCGGTCACTGTAGCTCACCGGATTTTCTGGTGTGAAGGTGATGATGATGAATGGATGTGGAAGATGGAGGTGAGTGACCTGCGCAGATGTTGTTGTTGGGAGGATTCACTAAGGGTGTGTATATATATGTGTAGGGTAACTAGGGTTTTACTTGCATTTTGGGTCTAAAATTGGGCTTTTTAAATTTCTAATACTTGGGCTTGAAAAATTTAACATGTAATTGGGCTAGATATTAAATGTTCGGCCAATTTAAAAGGTAGCGAGACTTGGACTAAATTAATTAGTCGGTTAAATTTACTAAAATAGTTGGGCTCGGATTTCAAAATCGATTATAGGCTCCATTTTAAATGGACTAAAATCAAATCAAACATGGGCTCGATTTACTAAAATGAAATGGGCCGAAATAAAATCGAACATAGGCTCGATTAATTTAATGGGTCGGCTAAAATAATTGGACTCGCTCGAAAATAATTGGGCTCGAATCAATTAATTATTCGGCTTCAATCTGCTTTAAGAAGACTTCCGATCATTCCAAGCCTCGGTTTCAAAAATAGAACCAATAATTGGGCTAAATAAATTTGAGTTTAATGATTAAAAAATCGAATAATTTCTCCATGGCTTAGAATTTAATGCTAATTATTCAATTTAATGCAAATAAATATAATAGATGCATCAAATTTGGAAACTTAATATTTATGGAAAATATAGTCGAGCTCCATAAATAGTAAATAAATATCTGGGCATTACAGTTATATACTAAAAGCTTGGCTTTGGATGATATTACACTTTTACCCTTTATGAATGAGAAACATGTTAGATTATACAAGTTCTACGTTTTGTTGTTTTGCATTAGATAGTGTGGGTCGTCATCGGGCGAACCGAAGATCATACTATCAGTTACTCGCGAAACAAGAATTAATGGTTCACAACCTAGATGGACATGAACACCCCATCGTGAACAGTTGTAGTGCCAACCGTACATTTTTGTCTTGACTGATTAGTTGCACTAGTACATTTATGTATTACTCAGGATCCCAGAGAGGAGCAGTTCGTTTTATACTGATCGTCGTAAACGGACTAGGCCTCGGTTAATTACTACGTACTCTTAACCCGTAAGATATTAAACATGCATATACGTGTAGTACTTATTACTTTGATTCACATGGGTGAGGCTTAGTAAACTGGGCCAATAGACCCGCTGTCTTGGGTAATATTGTTGCATGTAGGATGTGCTGTTAAGATATTTACGTTCACCATGTGCGTTAGTTTGATGATGTCCCTAGAGAGAGTTCATGAAGGAATATTATGCTAAACCCTGCAGGTAGATTAAATTCCAGCATATATGAATGTGATGAACGAGCGCTAGCTTCGGTAAAATAATAATAAGTTAATTAATCTTGATTGTCTGTGATCGAATTATTAATGGACATTATATCTTAAACATGAGGAGATAAATCAAGTAATTATTATCGGAGTATCAATTGTAAATTGAGCTAGGAAAAGAGAGTGCAATAATATTATGTTGGTGGCCCTTTTAATATTATTTAATTAATTTTAGAGTTTGTTTGATAGACGAACGGGATTTTTGAAGTATTTGGCCGGTTAATGCGATGATTAGTTGAATGGGTTAGGAGTTAACTTTTGACTTGATATTTTGACCATATATCGTGTATGTGATGAGGATGATATGTTTTAAATTTCGTGAATTTTGGATGCCTTTTGACTTAGATTAAAAATCGAGACTTTTACCGAAAAATGCGATAATTATAGAAAATTAGCCCGAATGTGATTTTAGTTGCAGTTGTTGATTATAAATTTCATATAAATTACATATAAATAGTGATTTAAATATTAGCCTAAAATAAGTTAGGATCTTCGAGAATCAGAAATCCTAATTTTATCCGGTTCCAATAGCTGGATAAATTCTAGATCCGGGTTTAATCGCTCGAACTCTAGTAACGTTTAAATAACTTTAGATGTCGTATAATTAATTCTTAACGCATATCGTCATCCTGCACACGTGTTCGACTCTCGTTCGACCATTGGAGCAAACCACCGAGTGCGTTCCCGTGCACCGAGTCCGAGTCAAACCACCGAGTGCGTGCCTCTGCAACGAGTCCGTCCGATATACCGTCTACGAGCCGTTTCCGTTAGCCGTGGTCCAAGCATGCCCCTACGTCAGTGACCGTGGCAATGTTTCAAACTCGTGCATCGGCTAAGTCGTGTCATCGAGTTCGTGCCGACCACTAGTTCCCATGCCTAATCCGGACTACGGTAAACTGAGTTGCACATAGTTAAGCAAATGATCGACCAAATCTGAGTGATTAGTCGGTCCAGTCCTGTCCGGGCAGTCCAGACAGTTGGAAGAGGGTTTCGAATCAGCCGAATCAGTTCGGGCAGTCCGGACAGTTCGGTAGTTAAGTTCGGAACATCGGTTTGAGCGTGAACAGAGAATCCCGTTTTTCTGAACCAGTCAGATAAATTTCAGTCAGATTTTAGCCCAACCAGATGTAATTTTAGTAAGACTTAAGTCCAGTTAGATTTAAGTCCAGTCAGAATATAGTCCAGACTTAGAAATATTTTAGAAATATCTAGTGTGCCTTAAAGGCAACAATATTTTCAAAATAAGCTGGTAAATCCTAAAATATTTTTTTTTAAAGTCGATTGAACGAATCTAGACATATTAGATAATAAAAATTTGAGTTTTATTCTGAGCCTAGTACTTAGAATATTTCGCTCATAATTTTATAGCTTGAGGAGAGTCGAGCCTCCACTAGCTACCAAATAGTTCAGTATTTTCAGCAATTGCATTCGCCAGCTTCTAGGTGGGGACCACTGTACTGTGTATCTCATCGCTTTTAATTATTTATCTTGTCAGAGGTCTTTATGTGATTACATTGAAGGATCGGGAAGGATGAGTGATATCGTCTTGGTCAATATTTCAGTATTTCAGTTATGACTTGGATGTGTGTGATTAGGGTCCATCCTAAGTCTAGCGTCCAAATGGGGTGATTAATGCATTTCTTGGATTTATGTGGGAGGGGACCCCTAGAGTGTGCACATGGGTACCGGTTTACCGTTAGTCCCATAGTTAGACCAATTTCTTTATATATATGCCGATTTCATGATGTGTGATTAATTGTGATGAATATTCGTGTCAGTTCTTGCGGAGCATCGTTGATTCTTTTATGCTCACGCCTCCCCACTAATCAGGTGATGAAGTCCTGCGTGGCGAGTGAGCTGATATGTGGCGTGGTCATTAGCGAGGATATTTTGAGTGAACATGTCATGTAGTATTTGAACATGTTTGAACTATATGTCCTTTGTAGTTGCATGTTTATTGATGCTTGTGTGTGTTTTTCTGAACTTATATTTGTTTCTGCATTCCAAAACTATGTTTCAAAATTTCAGAACAATATTTCAGACTAGTATCTCAGTATTTGAGAATTTTAGACTACATGTATAATTCCAGTAAATTTTAATGGCCTTAATTCTTGAATGAATTTTACTTGGTCGCATGCATAGTAAATTAAAGAGAATAGATTAAAGTTGAGCTGCATCCCGCAAATTAAAGTTAAAGTATTTTCGGAATGTAAATAAGTGATTTCTTATTATAGTGCGAAAATTTTACTCAGATTTTAGTAAGTCTAGGCGGGGTGTTACAACAACACTCAAGACAACATCCTCATATCCATAACATAATAATAATGTCATCAACATCCATAAATTGATAAATAAATAAAACAGTAGTCGTCTTCACTCAAACAACAATAAGCACTCAAACAGCAGCAAACAAGTGATCAACAGCACTTGAAATTAAGATTGAAATTAGGACAAAAAATAATTGTTTGAAAATTTAAAGACGATTCTCATAAAATAAGCTCCAATACCCTCAGGACTCAACAAAAACTGGAGAAATAGGACAAATCGAAATGAGAAAGAAAAAAAAACGAGAGAGTGATAGCTGGCCTAAATTGACGAAGCCGGTGGAAGGAGGAGCGTGCCCGGAGGGTGAGAGACTGAGAGCAAGGCCGAGATCGCAGGAGGGTGAGAGCAGGGTCGAAAACTCCAGAGGGTGAGAGCGGGGTTGAGAACTTGGATTTTCGATGGGTGAGCGTTGAAAGAGTCGGAGGGTAAGCAATCAACAACGAGCGGTGGAGCGGGGGGTTCAGAGCAGCGGAGCAGATTCAAACTTGAGGGTGAAAACGAGTTACTGCCTGCGAGGTTGAGAGAGCTTGAGAGTTGAACTTGAGTGTGAAAATTAGGGCAAGACTTTATTTTAAGTTTTAAATGTAAAATAAAAGTGCAACTTGTATATGTAAAAGTGCAACCTGTATATGTAAAAGTGTAAAACAAAATGACACTTTTTAACATTCTGTGCGGTTCAAATAAAATCGCACCATTCAGACAGAAAACCAAACCGCACTGAAATTTTTGCGGTCAAAACTCAAACTGCACCGTTAACCAACCTTTTTAAAACCCGCATCGAATAGCTCGATTCGATTTCATTTTTTAGTTTCGGCTCAATTTTACTCACCCATACTAACTAGTTTAGTTGAATTACGATGCTTTGTAATTATAGTTTTTTTTTTTTGGAATAGAACGACAAAGCCGATACAAGCTAAAGAGGAAAAAGGAAAGAAAAAAAAAAAACTGAAAACATAGAAAAATAGACTAAAGACGCGGGTAAGGAAACCAAGCTGCGTCCTTGGCCAACGGAGTGAGTAAATCGTCCGGGGGAAAAGCCAAAGTAGTGAAGAAAGCTTCTTCATTCGCTCCTCTCCTAGCCAAAATATCTGCCACGGAGTTTTCCTCTCTCCAAATGTGGAAAAACCGCACACTCTCCATCATATTGATCTTGTCCCTGATGTTCATGATCAGCCCGCCCATAGCATGATTTGATACGGTTGCACTATGTATCAACCGGAGAGACTCTTGCGAGTCCGAGTAACAAGTGAGCGTTGTGCATCTCCGAGACACCGCTAATTTTAACCCTTCGAGAATCGCGATCAACTCGGCGAGAGTGTTGTCGGCAATACCTATGTTCCCTGAAATCCCCTCAATCCACACACCCTCGTGACTGCGCAGGACTGCGCCGAAGCCGGACGGTCCCGGATTGCCCATTGACGAGCCGTCTGTATGCAAGATCATGCCTGTAGAAACAAATGGATTCCATGTTACAGTTCTTGTAACACTGCCATGACTAGGCACAATCATAAGCCTATCCACCCACTTTCTTGTTTCCTTCCACTAATGAAAGAACGATAAAATGTTTCGGACAACAGCGCACGGGGAGTCGGACGGTTTTTCGAACACCCTGTGATTCCGTTCCAGCCACATAAACCAAAGCGCAAAACGCAGCCCCACCGGCGCTTTAAGTATGAAATCAAGAGATTGGTTATCATATGGTATTGTATGTGCCAGCCGATTATGAAAACCATGCTGAATTAGTCCGACCCAAACTTGAACAGTCCACGGGCATGTAAAAAACAAGTGCACCCATGTCTTCGTCCCATCCCCACAAATCGTGCAATCTCCCGTAGAATCTAGATGTCGTTGGTGCCGAAGCGCCTTAGTAGGTAGCGACCGATGTCCAATGAGCCAACAGGAGAAATTAATTTTTTCTGGAACGTCGAGCCTCCAAATCTTTTTCCACTTCGTGTCCGCATTAGCATCCTGTCTTAGCAACCATTCATAACAAGATGTCACTGAATTTTTTCCTTTACTACCAACAGACCAACACCACCTGTCGGGCACGGAAGGATGAAGGTACAGGTTCCTAGCTTCCATCAGGGCCTTCTTAATATGCGCTGGGAAGTTCGTGTGCAACGACGGAATATCCCACCTACCATTAGTAATCATTTGACGACAAGATTTGTCTGAGTCCGAAATATGCACATAGTCAACAAGACATTTGATGGGTTTACCTTGAAAGTAGATACCCTCCCAGAAATTGGTCTCCCCATTACCGATCCTGTAGGTGAAACCAGTTGCAATGATGGAGAAACATCTCCTCAAGGCAGTCCAGACAGAAGACGATTGGGTCTTGGGCCTTTTGATCCCCTCATATCCCCTGCCAAATCTACCAGACAAGGCTTCCACCCAAAGAGATGAAGGGCCTTCGATATATTCGCTAACCTTTTTCCCCAACATAGCTATGTTCATCTGACGAGCTTTACGAATACCAAGACCTCCCAAGCGGCGAGGCGTCGCCACAGTTTCCCAATTGACTAGATGTAAGCCCCGCCCATCTCGGTATTTCCAAATAATTCTCTTAATAATGCTATCAATTTGCTGGCAGGTCTTCTCCGGAAACCATGCTATTTGCATAAAATATACCGGTATAGTGGAGAGTACCGAGCATGCTAGAGTAGTCCGGGCCGCCTTGTTAAGGAATTTAGCACGCCACGGGGGCAGCCGCCGAGAGATGCGTTCAATAATAAATTCAAAGTGAGATACCTTACGCCGTCCAACAATGATAGGGAAACCCAAGTATTTATCAAAAACCTCCGTCGTAGGAATGGATAACTGCTGACGAATCCTATTACGCTTTCTTTCTGGAGTCGCCGCTGAAAAAATGATTTGGGACTTGCTCAAGTTGATCGCAAGTCCCGCTTCCTCCGCAAAAGCTTGAAGAACTACATTGACTGTTTTGGCCGTGACCTCATTAGCTTGAGCCATAAGGATAACATCGTCCACAAATAACAAATGGCTGAGAACCGGGCCTCCCCGCGACAACACAACCGGATCCCAATTTCTCGCACTGACCTCCCGATTGATGGTTCTAGTGAGTTTCTCCATTACGATAACGAACAAATAAGGGGAAAGTGGATCCCCTTAACGGAGACCCCGGGAAGGGTGAATGTCCTCAGAAGGCCGGCTATTCCAAAGAATAGCGAAGTGAGCGGACGTAACACACTCCATGATAAGAGAAACCGATTGGTGTGTCCAATCCCATTTGAATTAGCGAGTCACGAAGAAATTTCCACCTCACCCGGGTATGCCTTGTCTAAATCAATTTTAATAGCGAACTCACAACCCCGTTGACGTTGCTTAAATTTGTGGAGAATCTCATGGAGAACAATAGCATGTTGGCAGTTCCTCTACCGGGAAGAAAGGCCGATTGCTCCGGACCTATGTAATCTACTAGAATTGGTCTCAACCGATAAAGAATTACCTTAGTCACGAACTTGTAGACGACGTTGCAAAGACTGATAGGCCTGTAGTCTTTGATAGTTAGCGGCGTGGCAATCTTCGGAATCAGGCAAAGATATGAGGATCCAAAACTAGGCGTGAAACGCCCATTTGCGAAGATAGTGCGGATAAAGTCACATGTGTCCGGACCAATGTGATGCCAGTATTTTTTGTAAAAAATAGTTGGGAATCCATCTGGACCCGGGGCTGAATAAGGAGGACAAGAATCGATCACTTGTTTAATTTCCATGTTGGAGATTGACTGTGTAACCGATAGCTCTATGTCGGGATCAAGAGGTGCAAGAGGTTCCGTGTATTCGCAGCCCGCAAGGGTGATGGAATGATCCGAAAAACGGCTCTGAAAATGGGCAATGGCATGCCCCCTGAGGATTGCTTCTTCTGAAGTCCAGACATTGTTAATTTGGAGTCCGTGAATGGCCGACTTAGTTTTGTGGATCTTAGCAGCTGTTTGGAAAAAGCGAGTGTTACGATCCCCTTGCAAGAGAATTTTTTCCCGGGATTTCTGGAACCAGATGAGTTCTTCCTGGTGAAGGATGGAGTTATGTTCCGTAAGAAGTTGCCTCTCAAGAATTGCGAGCCGAGCCGAATCCACCCTATTTTGGATTCGTTGGATTCCCAACAATCGTCTTTGAATTTTGCGCTTTCGAGCCCCAATATTCCCAAAACATGTCCGATTGAACGAAATAGAGGCTTCCCTGATGGAATTCATATTATGCAAGAAGTCTCCATTACCCAGCTGCCACTTGTCAGTAATAACCTTTAAGTAAGCGGGATGGTCTGCCCAAGCCTCATGCCTACGAAAAGGCGGTTGGGGAAGTCCCTGGATGTTAGGCTCGCGATGACAATGCAATATGAGAGGATTATGATCACTATTCCCTCTATTTAATGTCTCCACTATTCCGAAGGGAAAATTGCCGATCCAATCTGTATCCGTTGCAGCGTAGTCCAGGCACTTCTGGGAATGGATATTAACTCCCGTGGATGATCTTCTCCAAGTAAAGGGCGTGCCAATGCTTTGAATAACCGTCAGATCGCAATGTTGCAGGAATTCGTTAAGAACATCAGCTCGATGTTGAGAGAAAGAGTAGCCAGTGGATTGGGATGGGCCAGTGACCTCGTTCCAGTCGCCAATGACGCACCATGAGCCTTCACAAGTCACTCAAGCCGCCTTCAGATTGTCTCAGTCGCTGAGCCTTTCTCGAAAATAAGGCGAGGCATATATCCCTGTAAGCGCCCATTTACAACCACCTCGCCCGACACTAATAGATATGGTCCTGGTCGAGATGTGAAGAACAGAAACCGTGAATGGGTGTCCCCTTCTCTGAAGTAGCCAAATGCCACCACTTCTACCTGTCGCTTCCGCTATAACCACACGTTCATACCCACTGTAATGTAACCAGACAGCGCGCCTCTCGAAGAGGCATTGTGGTTCCATGACAAAACAGAAAGTCGGTCTGTGCAGAAAAAGGAGATCCTTCAACTGTCTCTGCGAGAACTTATTGACTAATCCGCGAACATTCCAAGATAAAACCCTGAATTCTTTAAATACCTGCATACGCCTATTATCAAGATTATTATCGCCCGCCAAAACTGAGCAACTAACTGTATTGTTTGGCGTAGAACCCATAAAATTAATGATAAGGAAATTAAATCCGGTCTCCCGTAATAACATCAGGTGGTCTGGAGTGGGCTTCCAAATCCTGCCCTTCATTGGTATCTTCAACTTCCATACCCATGTCTCGACAGATGTCCCCCGCCTTCGGATTTAGGCACTCAAATTTGTTGGCAAGTATAAACCCTTTGGAGGTAGAAGTGACATCTTGTGTCTGTTTAGGGACAGCCCCCTTATCTATGCCTATATGACGACGTTTTTTTGCAGAGGCATGTGTCTGTTCGTTTTCAACCAAAGGCACCCGGTGTGTTTGGATGGCCTTTCGAGAGCTTCCAGGCCCCTCTTTGTTAGAACGGTTAGAGGTAGAAGGTTTTACCTGTTTCTGTGAATTAGCTTTCTCCATAACAGGCTCCTTGTGAACAGCCCTACGCACAGAAGACGCCTCTCCCTTGCCTGCATTTTTGTTCGGTTTGCCACTCCTCCTTCATTGATTCACAAGCCAGTCACCATGTAATTCAGTAGGGGAGTTCATGGTAGAATCAGTACTAATGGATTTGCCCTTATCAAGTGAGGGCAACGGTCCGTCAGACTCTGTTGGCTTAACAACGGAACATGTGTTACGGTTGTGGCCATATCGACCGCATAAGGAGCATAGTAAGTAAAGGCCCTCATATTCCACCTTGTACCAAATTCCCTAAAATCCGACCTGGCCAACAACGGGTTGGTTCAAATCAATCTGGACGCAAACTCGAGCATACTTCCCCCTTTCAACATTTGAAGTATTGAGATCTATCCGAATTGGCGTACCCACCATCGATGCCAAGCAAAACATTATGTTCTCATCGAACATCGCGATATTTAGCTCTGAAAAACGAATCCAAACCAAAGTGTTTTCAATCACATCATTGAAAGAATTAAACTGTGGAGTCCATTTCTGAACTGTGACATAATGGCCTGAAAGCATCCATGGTCCTCCATTCAAGGCTGTGTCCCGATCGTCTTCTCTTGTGAATTTCACCATAAAAAAACCATTAGCCAAATCAATTAGCTCGAGATGCCCATGGGGCTTCCACAGGCGCTTAAGCCCCTCTTTCATGTAGAAATATGATACTCTTTTACCTAATAGGCGGACCACCAGCCCATCCTCGTATGGCCGGCAAACTGACGCATAGTACTCAGGGTCCAGCTCCAAGACCGGCTTCAATCGATCGTTGTCAATCAGCTTAATCTTTGCTTTTTGTTCCTTGAACAAATCGCGCTTTTGGGGCGGAGGGGGAAGGGGCTTCGAGAGAAGAGTGATGTCTCGAAATGAGGGTTTCGCACCATTGAAGAGTAACGGCGTGTTGGGAGATTTATCAAGTGGACGGCCGGTGACTGGAATCTCCATCGCCGTGTCAATTCCCAAGTCCGAATCCATCCGTCACCAACTATCTATAGCACTTGTTTTCACTAGTCGTAATTATAGTTGATTATGCCTTTTACATTATTTGAGTTTATGGTTAAATTTATTGTTTGAAAAAAAGAAATGATAAATAAACTCATCCTACGCTCCTAGTGGCAAAAACGCGGGGCCTTTGTTTTGGTCCACGTGTTACTGACCGCCTGACAGTCGTGTGAGCGAAGTAAACACAGCTGACTGAACCATTCTTCTAGAAGCCTATAAATTAGCCCACGCATATAACAATATCCGCTCTCCTCTCCTTTTTCATCTCGCTGAATTTCTCTATTTTTCTCTGCATATATACACACACACAAGTCCATCTATCTACCATTCTTCTGTTGCAATAGACCACAATAATGAACAACAACTGTCAGGATAATGATGCCTACGTATGCCCGAGCTTCAGCAGCTATTCATCCGACCGATTGGCGGAAACCGCCGAGAGGTCCGCCGGCGACGACGATTTTGAATTCTCTCTGGTGCGCGAAGACGGAGAGAATCTGATCGACGGCCAGATCCGGCAGGTTTTCCCCGTATTCAACCGCGATCTGCTAGATTCGTCTGAGTCAAGCGTCGCGGTCCCGCTGAGCAGGCTTTTCATCGAGGAGGATCGCGAGCGCGACTGTCCCCCGTCATGCTCCTCCTCGGAGGCGGACGAGCTGGAGAATGTACCGTCGGGGACTTACTGCGTGTGGCGGCCGAGGATGCCGAGCCAGTGCAGAAAGAGCAAGTCTACCGGATCTGCGTCTAGGCGGTGGAATCTCCGGGATCTGCTCCGGCGGAGCAAGAGTGACGGGATGGACAGTTTCGTCTTCCTGACTCGAAATCGCAACAAGGAGGGAAAAGCGGTCAAATCGACCGAGCACCGGCCGCCGGCGTCGGCGCACGAGACGTTTTACGTCCGGAATAAGGCGGCGAAGGAAGTGAATAAGAAGAAATCGTATCTGCCGTACAGGCCGGAGCTGGTTGGATTTTTCGCTAATGTCAACGGTTCCTCTGCGCGATGTTGATGCATAGTATTGTACCGCGTGCTCCTAAGATGGTACGGTACTCCAATTGGATTTTTTCTAGTAGTTCGTTCCTTCCTTATACTGTGGCCTGTTAGTTTTATTGTTATCTTTTGGGTAAATAGTACGGTCCCGTTATTGAATCATTTTATCGGGATTTGTAATTGGATATCGTTATTGAATCATATTTTTGGGATTTGTAATTGTCAGTTGATCTAACGGTTACAAATCCTGACGAAATGGTTTCGTAACGGACCGTAGAATCTCAATGTTTTGATAAAATAAATTTTAGTTTTTTCAAAGCAACGCAACTAGTGCATAGATTTGTGCTGTTATTTATAGTTGTGCTAAATTCCAAATCAAGGAGAGGGATCATGATTCGTGTGCGTGACTGAACTCAATATAATAGTAGAAGATTGCTCATTGAACAGATTTCTCGGAGTTAGTATTTTAAATTCTTACAATAATAAGGTCAACCTTGAATAGTATTTAATAGTAGCTCATTAAGTTCACTGACCCTTGAATTGTGTGTAATATATACTATAGGGAAATGTCAAGATTCTATTACAAAACTATTCCGTCGGGATTTCTAATCGATAGATGACTAGTTCTGACAGTTACATGATGATCTAACAGTTACAACTCGACAGAATTGTTCTGTAACTGGATCGTAACATTTCCTATACTATAATTAATATTAACAGTTGTGTGGTTTGTTTTCGAAATAGACAGCAGCGTAGACGTAAGTGTATCTAAAATAACACAGCAGCTGATGTGTCAAAGTTGTGATGTTTGACAGGACTAATCAGTCCAATCGGCGATGAATATGTAGTCTAGAATTAGACGAAAACAATACGATATGGGCATTTGCTACCAACCAACCTACCTCTATGAACCATAAAGTGGTCCTTATCTTTTGGCATCTAGTGGTAGACAAAGGAAGTTAATATGTATTATGAAATTAAAGTAATGAAGTTAATGTACAAATATTTATACTACTTATTAAATATTATGATATGGTGATGTGTTGTCTAGTGTATCATATTTGGTAGAAACATTTCAAGACCTGATATGTGGAATTGAAAAAAGCTTTGGAATAGTGATGTTGTTGTGGTTAAAGCCACCAAATACAATACAATAATGACTTTACCAAATAACAAGCACAAAGTTCAATCAAGAACAACAATAACCACACGTAATAGCAACCAAACGATGTCAAGCCAACAATAGGATGACACAAGATTTTTAGCGTGAAAAATTCCAAATTGGGTAAAAATCACGAGACCTGTAGGCCGCTTAAATCTTCCACTATATCAATTCGATAATGGGTACAACCGAAATCCTCTCTAGATCATCAAACTAGAGGCAAACAACAATCTCAAGATCACAACACAAGATCTTGCCTAACAACGAGAAACAATTCAACAACCCCTTCATGTCACACACAAACAGACAACCCAAATGTGCTCAAATTCGACTTTCTGTCAAAATGTGACTATCCAACGGTTGCAATCGCTGGGAATCGGCGATTTTCTGGGACTGCGCAGTGCAGTTGCGAGAATGAAAAAGAGGACGTGTTTTTAACTTGTTTATGTCATGTTTCTTCCGTCTCTGCACACTGATAGGCTGTAAAGTATTTTTTTTCCCCTTTATGAAAAGATAATGGGCCTTTAGCCCTTATTAAGTCCAAGCCCACAATTAGGTCAGACTCAACAGGTAGGTGTGTAGTAACTAATAATTGACTTGATCGATTTAACTCTCTATAATTTAACTATACTTAATTGATCATTTTAGCCCGTTCCTTTTAATTATGCATAATCAAATAAAGTTTAAATTCAATTTATAAAAAATTTATGAAAAAAAAATCTAGGACAATATATGTTTGTCACTCTTCAAGTTCATCTTCTCAGTGTAACAATACATTTTTACGGGTCATTTTTTAAACTATAATGCAAACTTGGTTATGAGAATTTTTAATTATTGTATTTAATCTATTAAACTAATATATTATAGTGTTATACAATTCAAGAAATATAATCCATAACACAATTGTAACACTATTTTTTTATAAGTAACTTTCACGCATATAATATCTAAAATTATGTATAGTGCTTTTAGCCATGTAAACCTTGTAGAAAGCTTTAACTCTTCTGGTGTGTGTATATGAAATAATTTATTTCATACCCATGCATACTTAAAATCTACTTCAATTTTAGTTCAACCACACTATTCTCAATATTATCAATATTGTTGGCGTCGAAAATTGGATGATCAACCATTGAAAAGGAGTCAGAATATTTTGTATGAAAAGTGAAGAATAATTATATGATCAAAATGAAAGCTTTTTTTTTTT